ATCATCGAAGCTATCTGCACAACCCTCGTCGCTTCTTATCTGCATACGTACGCTGCTACCATGTTATCTTCAGTTGACAGCGGAGGTCACCGGCAATCACCTCGGCTGCCACCCCCATCTACCAGAAGTCTGGAACCCTTTTGGTGCGACAATCGCGGAGATGAGAGCGATGCCTCCAATCAGGGTCCCAATTGCGTGCTCTGCTTGCAACGTCGCGCAGCACCCAGCCACGTGGGAGTGGTGTTTCTCATAAATTCTTCTCGGCAGTGATGTCAAGCTTCTAACATCTTCACGACGGAGCTTCTTGTTTGGGCAAATCTTCTCTCTTGGATCATATCTCTGCCAGCGAGTCAGCATCTCAAGTTGCCATATTGAGGAGATCGTCACCGCTCGAAAAGACAGGCCTCCATCCAAGATGGCTGAAAAGGCAGACAGCGTTTCCGATACGGCGCAGCCAGTTGAGCAGTCGGAAAGGGTCGACGGTAAGACAGTTCGACACATCATCAATCTCATTCATAAATTGACGGCGTGCAGCGAAGTGGTATCGGACACCATTTTACAATGCCACGATTCTTGGCATGTGTAGTTTTGCAGCCCCCGGTCTTTGGGGTGCGATGAACTCTTTGGGTGCTGGTAAGTCTCATCTGAGGATTGAGGGTCCTTGTGCATCTATGGAAAATGAAGCGTCTGACAATGTTATAGGTGGTGCTCAAGAGCCATACCTTGTCAATACCGGAAACGCACTTACCTTCTGCCTCATGATCATCTCATGCTGGCTCACAAGTTCTGTTGTCAAATATGTCGGGATCAAGGGTGCCTTAGTCATCGGCACAATCGGGTTTGCTCCATACAGCGCAGGACTGTACCTGAACAACCGTTACGGCGTTGAGTGGCTCGTTATCCTTGGCGCTGCATTCTGCGGCGTATCAGCTGGTATTTTCTGGGGCTCGGAAGCTGCTATTGCCATTGCATATCCTGAGCCTCACAACAGAGGGCGCATGATTGCCTACTGGCTTACCTGGACTCGGGTTGGGCAAATCCTCGGCGGAGTCATCAACCTTGGCCTTAATGCGGACCGCAGTGGAGCTGGCAAGGTGTCGTACAAGGTTTACCTCATCTTCATCGCCTTACAAGCTTGCGGACCCTTCGTTGCCATGCTTTTGAACAAGCCAGAAAAGGTCCAGCGAGCCGATGGGAAGCCAGTCCAGCTGACCATTGCCGACAACCCATGGCAAGAGATCAAGGCTACGACCAAGACGTTCCTCACCCCCAAATTCCTGCTCCTCGTTTTGTGGATTGGCCAGGGCGTGTACTCTGAATCGATTTTCTTCACATATATCGCTCTGTGGTTCTCTGTCAGAGCTCGCGCCCTCGGATCACTTCTCTCCGGTATCGTTGCAGTCATCGCTGGTAACCTCCTTGGACTGTGGCTCGATCAGAACCAGATCGCTCTGAAGAAGAGAGCTCGCTGGGCTTTTGCAGTCATTATGACCCTCCAGGGTGCTTGGTGGCTATGGCTGACCATTAACGTCACTGAGTACCGTCGAACTCAGCCTACACTCGACTGGAGTGACCCAGGATTCGGCAGAGGCTTCGGTGTCTTCATCTTCTTGGTCGCTGGCTTCCAATTGAACTACAACTTTGCATTCTTCATAATTGGACAAATTTCCGAAACCCCTCAGGAGACGATCCGCCTGTCAGCACTTCTTCGGGGAACAGAGTCAGCCTGGCAAGCTGTCAGTTATGGACTAAACGCAATCCCAATTTTCGCCTTAGTCGGCGGGCCGTACATCAACTTTGGGCTATGGTTTATCTCGATTTACCCGGCTTGGCTGGTTGTCAGACATTTTGGCAATGACGAAAAGAAGACTGATGCAGAGACAGTAGCTCAGTCGGAGTCAGTCCATGAAATCAAAAGTTGAAGAGGATGCTGGGCACTGCTGATTGATGGGCAACAAGTCAGGTTGTAGCTGAACTTGAGGTGTTACTTGTCCACATCTTGATCAATACTCTGGCTTTTATCCACAAAGACGCAGTTCTGAACATAAAAATACAACATATTTTTTGAGTAAACATGCCCTCTCACTTTTTGTTTTTCTTTGTTCTCTCATTGTAACCTCACATGCGTAAATGATAATGCGATGCTGTTAGAAATTTCATTGATCCGTACAACAGCAAAAGAGTTGGAGTATCACTTCACTTATAGTGACTGTGCTGTATTTGATGTCTTTGTCCTTGCTTGTTTGGTGAAAGATTATGATCTTTCAAGCTAATATTCATGCTATTCTTCCACGAATTAGATTGATGTCATCATGCCCGTGGGCAGTCTTCGTGATCTCTTTTTATTCTCACATAACTTTAGATACATACAATTGAGGACCACGTAGAAATCCTGCCTCAATCACTACTTTTCAACCTAAATCGACTATTCGACTCGTTAGTACGGAAAAGAAGGATAACAACGGCTTATTTGAACATTTTCAAAGGCCAAAGTCGGTCAGTAGTACAGCTCGAAGATCGAAAGGACCAGCAACAAAGAAGGACGCATACACGCAATATACTGTGCCAAGTGCCTTGCTCCAATTGCCACGGGAGACACGCGACCATATCTATGAGTTATCCTAGCTTGTGCCCTCGAGGTGTGAGCTAGATATTTGCGAGCCAGTTGGCAGTCTACCATGGGCTGCAGCATATCCAACATCTCCTCTCTTCGAAGTCTGCCTCCAAGTTCAAGCCGAGGTCCTCGAGTTGTTCCACAGCCAAAACCATTTCAGGTTCTGGCTTGGACGGAACAGGTGGTGTGGGAGCCAATACATGTTTGGCTCTTTCAACTCCACATTCACTGAAGCGCAATTCAAATCGTCACACCTCCCTTCTCTCAGGGGCATCAAGCAACTCTATCTGGACTTCTATAAAGGCACCGGACCAGGCCAAATAATTGCGTCGGAACTGGCTGCATCAGCCAGTCTGGTAGAGAGAATCACAATCTGCCTCAACAGACATAGCCAGGATCCGGCTTCTGACCAGTTTCAGACTGCTCTTCTGAGATTCGTGAGAGACATCCAGGAGCAAGTCCCTTTGGTGCATACAATCAGGCTCGCTCACCCCATTGCCAAAGAACTTGCTCAGAGAATAGCTAAAGAGACTTCGTTGCAAATCGAGGCCATCTGTGCGAGAGAGACTCATGACGAATGTGACCGCAAGCTTCCATTGTCACCAGAAACTTTTTGCGGCTCAGCTAGGTCTCAGAAAGCCCAAGAAAGTGATTCAGACAACACAGCATTCTAAAATATACAGGGATATATTTGGACTGTCAGGAAGTCGGTCGAGCGATGGCATCAATGGTTTATGTCAACAGGAGACTTGGTTTGAAGCTCGAAGCTTTCTTAGATTGAATAACTGGAACTATTGTGTGCCTATGTTCCCCGGGATGAATATAAGTCTACTTTGACGGTGAAGTAGGTGAGCCTGTCATTGCATGTCACAGCATTCAGTACTGTCATATATGCCACATACGCCATAATTGATGCAGAATGATTCTATTACTTTTGACCAGGCCGCGTTGATCACATATGTACCTTTGCCTGGCTCATCTGTGACCTCATCACGAACTAAACTTCCTTAATACAACCCCAAGAGTAAGAGAAATGAGAAGCTGGAGACTGGTAGAGAGTCTTTTCATCGTTGCGCTCAGTCCACAAATGACACTATCACATGCCACTGGCGAAACGCAGAACATCATGATCATTGCGTGGTTGGTAGGATTGGCGGGCTCTCTCCACTGGTTTTCCTTGATGAAAACCCCAAGCCGAGGGAGTAATCACTAACCAGGGGCGTTGTCTTCTGAGATAGGTCATTATATACCATGATAAGAGCGTGTTGAGACCTGGACTGTTTGCCTTGCATCCAGACAGGGGTCGCCTTCTGGCCAACGGGTTGGATGTAATAAGATTCGACCACGGATATTCACATAGCAGTGCGCAATAACTCCAATGGCCACATCCTTTTGCAAAGTCCCATCATACGACTAGATGCATTCATACGAGCCGATGATAGCAGTGTACGCTGAGAAGCTAGAGGTCGCGTCCCCAGGGTGGGTTGAGCAAACCAGATTGAGTCAAATACCTCAATGCACATTGTCGACGGAAGACACTATTAGCATCCCTGCAGGCATTGGGAAGCCTAATTTTTGCTTCCCAGCTCGACTGTTCCTTTGAGTTTATCGACGCGGGTCCGAGACATGCGGAGGAATCCGGGGTAGATGTGGAGGTCGGAGACGGAAGCCGGAACCCGGGAGGGAAGCTTTTGCCAGAAAGGGTTACCTCTTTGTCTGGAAGGACAAGACCAGGAGGGCAAATATTACTTATTCTGGAGTCTTGCATTCAAACATCCCGTTTAGAACAGCTGGCAAACCAGGTCAAGGCAGGAAGTGACATGATCTCATGTAGAAAGTAGTCGATGTTGGTCGTTAAAGACAATGATTGTGAAGAGGGCCAGATCATGGAATGCACAGTGGTCCACCGACCAGTCTTGGTAGCCAATCTGGGCCTCTCGAAAGACCTGCGGTCACTCGATCTCTCAGACTCTTAGTCTCGGTCTTCAGTGTGACCTCCGCAAAAAGCGCTCCAGTCTCCAGCGCTACCCCGGAAGTGCAGTCCCACCCCCGGTCACAAAAGTCTTCCGAGTCATGCCCTCCACGCCTCGGTCTTGCCAAAGGAGGCAGTCTTTAGCATCTTGAGGCTACCGAAAGATGTTGCATCCACGGGGAAAGTGCGGAGAACTGGGGAGGTCTCAAGCTCCCTCGACGAGTGTCCATGGGGAAGCTTGCATTGCATTCTTTATGTGCTTTTTCAATCCAGCATGCTTGGAGTATAAGATGCGTGAAGGTCCCACCACCCTCCGAGATGAGAACAATTCAAAGCAACCTCAACTCGCAGGGGGACATCATCACGCGTTCCGGAATCAACCCAGTCCTGTGCAACCTCGGACTGCCAACCACAATGGACGCCAAGAACGAGCCGACGGTCCAATATGATGACAAGCAGAGAGCCGACCAGTTTGAAGATGCGAAGGTGGCCGCAACAGCTGCGCTGCCAACATCGCAAGCCAACGAGAAGCTTACTTTCAGCGATCTGTGGGAGAACAAGCGCGTTCTGGGCTTCTGTCGGTTCATCTATCCCTATTGATCCCTGCAAAGAATGATTCGCTAATACGATGTGTGGCGGTGACAGGCTTGATGATCTACCTTTTGCCCATTAACTTTGGTTACGAAGTCTCGACCATCGGAAAGCTCCTCGCTGTAACCCCTTTTGCTCAACGTTTCGGCCACGAAATCAACGGAAAATGGCAAGTTGCCGCTCGGGACCAGCAGATCCTCAATGCCGCGGGCACGATCGGAATCTTCGTCTCGGCATTCGCAACAGGCTTCATTAGCGATATCTTTGGCCGGAAGAAGACCATTGGCCTCGCTTGCTTGATTTGCTGCGGTGGCACGATTCTTCAATACTTTGCTTCAACTATCATGATGCTTTTCGGCGGCAAGGTCGTTGCAACTTTTGGATTCGGTCTAGGTCACTCCTTGGGGCCTGTCTTTGTTGCCGAGCTCGCACCCGTCAAGATGCGTGGTGTTTGCCTGGTTCTTGTCAACACAATGATCACTGTTGGCCAATGGCTCAACTCGGCGACAGTACTGGCAAGCGATCACTATCACAATGACCTTTCTTGGCGAATCCCTTTAATTACGCAACTCATTCCTCCTGGACTGCTCCTTTGCGGTTTGGTATTCTTGCCCGAGTCCCCTAGCTGGCTTCTCATCAAGGGTCGTCGTGAAGAAGCCGCCATATCATACAAAAGATTCAACGGGCCCAGCTTCGACGTGGATGCCGCGTTGGCGATCGCCACTGTTGCCATTGCCAAAGAGCAAGAGGCCAAAAAGGAACAGGAGTCAGCTCGCTGGGTTGACTGTTTGAAGGGAGTCAACGGCAGGCGCACAGCAATTATTGTGATGATCTATCTCTCTCAGCAAGCCATTGGTGTGAACTTTGTTTCGGGCTACCTCACGTAAGGCAGCCACTTTTCTCTACAATTCCATGTCGAAGGTCACTAAACAGCTCGCAGATACTACTTTCGCTTGGCTGGAATTAACAATCCGCTTGCAATCGGCCAGGCAGCCTACGCAATTCAGTTCGTCGGCAACATGACTTCCTGGCCACTTGTGGATCGATATGGAAGACGTCCGTTGATCGTGGGCGGCGTATTCACCATGACAGCCCTTTTGCTTCTCATTGGCGGTATCAGCACCATCGGCAACCAAGCCTCACTCACCGCAACGGTCGCTTTCATGGTCATTTGGGGATACTTATATCAGGCAACTTTGGGTGCGGTTGCGTACTCTGTCGGAGGAGAAACTGCCAGGTATGTTTACGATAAACTCTCAGCTTAAGTTCTTAGACTTTGGATTGGATTCTGCATTGCTGCAAGCCATCAGTCCAGACTTCAGTTCAAGTGGTCTTGGTAGTGCACGTGGTGTTGCTCAATACATAGGCTTGTGGGCCTTCAACCCTGACTCGTGGATAAGAGGAACAGGGGCATGCCTTGCTGACGAAATGACAAACAGTGTGCAATTGCGACAAAAAACTTACAGCATCAATATCATGTGCTCGACCGCGGCGTCCTGCTTAGTATTGCAGGTGATGCCCTACCTGCTCAATACAGACCAGGCCAACCTGGGCGGTAAGATTTGCTTCATCTTCTTCGGCCTATCGTTGCCCATGTGCGCATGGCTTTACCTGTACTTCCCCGAGATGAAGGGTCGCAACTACGCCGAGATTCAAGAAATGTTTAGCAATCGCGTGCCGGCCCGCAAGTTCAAGTCTTATGTTTGTGAGGTCAGCGCTGGGGGCCAAGAGGAGAAGAAGCTTCAAGACGAAGCATGAAGGGGCAAGCGGTGGATACCGAGAATGTAATCTCTACGGCTACCATAGGCTACAGCAGTGAAAGACAGACCACCTTATCCTGACTTTGCAAAGGGTGTGAAGCGTTCGCGAAAAATCTGGAAGCCATAGGGCTACCGTTAAGAAGCTTAAATGAGGCACACAAACCGTTAATGAGCACACGATGCTCCGTGCAGCCATTGGGTGGCCTGGTCCCCTTGGACTCGCCTTTGCGCATTTCGGTTGGCTCACTGTCGAAACCCGGCCGAAATGACATGGGACTAATGCAGAGGCGATGATTAGCGACGTTTAGGATAAAGCAAAATAACGCAGTGGGCCGGGATCATAATCGGAGATTAGAGTGATCCTGACCGGGACTCCTGCTTGTCAGAGTTCTTTGCTCGAGTCCATGACAATGTTGACATTGTAATCGTTCAGTCTTCTAGGGCGCGTCCACAATTTTCTTTTAAAATCTCCGCTCTCCACGGTCTTCTCCAGATCAGCGTTCTTTTTGGGGGCAAAAACGTCTGGCACAGCCTCAGTTCACAGTTGTTGGTCCGTCGATCGCGAACACTTCGCCGTTACACTCATTTACAACTACACTCATTTACCAGCAACCATGTTCTCTCAGCGCCTCTTGTGGCTTGGTGCCACTCTTCTGGCCTCGTGCTCCCAGCTTGCAAGCGCCGAGTTGCCCGCCGACGCCATCGAGCTCGATCTTGTCTTCCCTCGTGGCGATGGCAAATATGCCGAGACCACCAACGGCTACCCTGTCCTCCTCAACGTCCAGAACCCCGACGTCGCGTACAAGTACGGCTACAACTTTGTCTGGGATATCTACTCGAGAAATAAGAACTCGTACATGCGCACCGCCGCCCACGGCATTTTGGGCGCTTCCATCGGAAACGACAGCACCTTTGGCAACGGCCCGCACCTCGAGGTCGGCAAGACCGGTCACCTCGCTGCAGGCGACTACACATTCGCCTGGGTCTTTGGCATGGGCGCCCAATGCGAGTTCACCGAGCAACCCGACTACAGCGAGTTCAACCTGAATCCGCGCATCGCCAACGGTAGCTTTGACTTCACCGTCGAGACCAGCGGTAAGGAGCCGACTTTCACCACTTGCCCGAGCGCTATTGGCAGCATGAGCTACGTTTCCACGACGACATACAACTCCGAGGCCACCAGCGTCTGTGCCGTCACCGCTTCCGTCACCCACGATTCGCAACCCTGCTCCGCTACCGTCAGCAACGACCAAGCTACTAGCGTTTACAGCGAGCTTGGTTATGCTCGCGCAACAGGATCTTCCGGAGCCGCATCGCTCAACTCGAACTTGCCCTCGTCTCATTTCGCTCTCATTGCCGGTGTATTCGCAGCGGTTGTAATTCTGGTATAAGCGCGGTAAACGACCTCCGTCGCAGATGCAATTCACAGAGAGACGCGCCAATGATGTTACGAAGAGCGGCAGCTGAAAGCGATGGGCATTACGACCTGCCCGATTAGCAGCCCTATGAACACTTCAATTCTTCGCTCTGCGAGGATGAGGGGCTGAGCAGCCACAGCACATGCAGGCTGTATCAACAGTACCTTATCAAAGTTTGCTGTGCCGTTCACGTCTGCCTTGGACTGGCCCATCGTGCAGGCGGCACAGTCCTGGTTCCCATCCACGTTGCTACCCCTCGCGGTACAGCACAGCAACCAAAAATAAGCCATAGATCTGCAAAAGGCGCAGTCAGATGGATCTGGCCCTCCGGGAGAGGCTTCGGGTGGTCAGGCATGATGCGGGCAAGGGACTTTAGTGACAAGATACCGCTCCTCGAGAGAGACATTTCCTCAACCACCAACATCTTCGTGCAAGGGTTGAACGGGTTGGTTCAGCCCCCAAAGGCCCAGATCGCTTCCTTGCTCGGTGTCACATCCTCCACCATCAATGTCAGCCAATAATGGAGCATGTCGGCTCACGTTAGCATTCAAAAACCTTGAAAAATACAACGGCATTCGTCCCACTCTTCCCAAAGTTCCCATGTAATGTATGTGATCTGCGGCATCGCAGTTGGTCCGCACATGTGCATGTAAGCACTGCAGGCTTCCAACTCAAGTAGCAGTCACGCTACAATGCCCAGGCTTCAAAAATCTGTCAAGCTTTCTCGGCGTGTTTCCAAGTACTTGAGGCTCCCCGGTCCCAAGCCACCATGCAACTTTCCGTATATTTGCTTTTGTGCCCGTATTCCTTTATCTTCATGCACTGAGCCTTTCTGACAGCTGCGACCTCGATCGGGACCCGGCAAACAGCAAACATGTCGCACAGACAACACTCGCACAATGTGAGCACAAGCTCGGCTGACACGATTTATGTCGAGCAACCGACAAGCCCCTTCATCCCTGGATCTGACAAGAGACAAAGTCTGGGATCGTAAAAGGCGTACCAATCAACGTTTGTTTCTGTCGATGACGTCTCTCCCAGTGAGCCTGCTTTGAGCAGCAACGGAGAATCTGGACGCTCTGTTCCCTCACGCTGGAGCAGAATCTCCGGTAAATCACACATCAAGTCCGACACGTTCTCGCCATCTGGCTCTTGGACTTTTGAGATTGTCAGTCTTTGTGTGACCATCCTTGCCTCAGCCGCCATCATTGGTGTTCTCGCAGCATACGACGGGAAGCCGCTAGTGTCATGGCACTTTCAAATCACTATCAACGCCGTTATTGCCCTGTTGGCTACCATTGCAACTGCGACTATGGCCCTCGTCCTTTCTAGTGGCATCTCTCAATTGAAATGGATTCATTTCAAGACTCGCCGCGAGCCGTTGTCGGATATGGAGGTGTTCGATGATGCCAGTCGAGGAACCTGGGGAGCTCTCATGATGCTCATTAAGCTTAGAGGAGGGTAAGTAGGATATGATTGTCAATGGCTTCGACCCACGTAAACACATTCAGCTGACCTGAAGTCCCGTATAGTCTTCTTGGTTCTTTTGGCGCGTTCGTTGCCATCTTGACCCTAGCATTCAGCCCCTTTGCCCAACAAATTGCCACGTTCCACGCACGCACGACCAACACTACAAAAGGAGCCATCAACCTCCGAGCAGAGGAATACTTGATCGCTCTGAGCAGTCAGACTGCATCTGAAGGCTTCATTCCGATTCTTCCTTTCAAGGCGGCCGTGTACAATGGTCTCTTTGCTGAGAACGGTAAGCCCTGGCTGAGCCTCCCTGTCAACTGCCAAACAGGTAACTGTACTTGGGAGCCTTTCGAGACTCTCGGTGTCTGCAACACCTGCGTTGACATGTCTGAGTTCATGACGCGATCATGTGAGGACGGATCGATCCCTGAAGGCGACATGACAGAGTGCGGCTGGTCAGTCCCAGTAGGTGCTCGCCTTAAGACACATGCCGACGTGTTCAGCATGACACCAATCTTCCCTCAAGGTCTTGGAGATATGTCTTACTCGACCATCATGAAGCTTGTATTTATGGGCACTGAAAGACAAGGGGGTGTCGCTGGTGCCCTTGCACCCTGGGCTCGCCAGTGCACCCTTCAAGCCTGTGTACAAACTCTGGACTCCGAAATCGTCAACGGCGAGCTGAAAGAGACCATTATCCATACCAGCACCAACGATTCCTTCGCCACAGCAACTCAAGACACCCTTGAGCCCATTTACATCTCGGGCCAGAGTGGCAATGAGTCCTATCCGATTGACATGAAAGTCATAATGGGCGTACGTTCGTGGTTCTCGGACCTGTTCCGGAATGGGTCGGCCTCGCGTAATGAAGAGGTCATCAACAAGACTATTACGACTCCAGACAATGTTATAGTCAATCTCACCGTCGGTATTTCCAGCGGCGAGACATTCTTTGATACCGACATTGTCCAGGCCTTTTACTGGAACTACTACGAGTACCCAACAGGGATTGATATGCTCATGAACGATCTTGCAACCAGTGTCACCGTCAGTTTCAGGAGCTTTAATGGCACCGATGTCATTGGCATAGCGCACATTGTTGAGAGCTACGTCCATGTCGAGTGGAGTTTTCTAGCGGTTCCGCTCCTCACTGTCTTGTTGACTACTCTTTTCTTGATCGCGGCGATCTACCAGACGTACCGCCAAAAGGCTAGTCTATGGAAGAGCAGTGTACTTGCAACCTTGGTTCACGGTCTAGATGGAAATGCCAGGGAAAGACTCGAGGACCTTGGTGGCTTAAAAGAGCAGCAAAAAGAGGCTAAGTCTGTGAGAGTGCAGCTGGATGACGGTGACGGTGGACTATTGAGGTTATCCAAGTACGATGATATCTGAGTTCCCATCTGAGGTTAATTCTGGGCGATCAAGTTGTGACGGATCTTGGTACTCGGGGGATTTGTGATCGCCAAGTTTGGTGTATTCGCTTATACGCTCTTTACGACTTTAATGATAACGATAATGGCTAGAGACGTCTTGGGTTCCATTTTGACTGGTGTTGAATAAAGATGAAATCGCTTATGTTGCTAAGCTCTGTTTTGTACAGATGAAAACTCTATGTAATCCTTTCCATGGCCATCCATTCCACTCATAGGCAAGTAGTAATTCTTGAATATTTAAACGTACTCGGCGCAGATGAGGTCACCTCCAATATCCATTACCTCTCTGATAGTTGCGTTGGGCATAATATCGACCATCCACAGGTTGTGGTTCAAAGTGGTTTCGTTGCCACCGTCGCCAAAATAGTCCGTCAGGGCCGCACTGGGGTACTCCATGCCGTTCTGGGTAAGATAGCTGGTAAGAGGGATGTTGCGGCCTCCCATGTCCGTCAAGCGGGAGCTGTTGACCTGCTGCCACTCCCACCAGAGACGGTCGAGATTGGTGTGGTGCAGGAAGAAGAGCGGCTCGCCAGGGCTGCCAACGACATCGAGCATCTGAAGAGATCGTGTCAGCTTTGATCACACTTACATCGGCGGGGAAGGGGGTTACTAACGGTTCCACCGACTGCAGAGTGGCCCGCGGTGTGAGGGTTGACCTGGTAGCATTCGAAAGCCGCCGTGTAGTTCTCAGAAGCGAAGCACTCATCAATGTACTGCTGCTGTCCGGTCTGAAAGCCGTTTGAGTTGAATGAGCGGGTCAAGCAATCTTCAGCATAGTTGGAGGTGGAGTTGATGTGGAGAGTCAGGTTGACGAAGGGGCCGTCAGTGACACATCCACCGTCGCTGTCACCGCCGAAGCCGGTGTCGGGATCAAATACAACGGAGGTGTTGAGTGAGTCCATGTCCAAGACCTCGTTCCAGTACGGCTGGCCACCCTCGTAGCCACACTCGGACTGAAGGAGATACTCATGGACACGCATGAAGTAGCGGTGCCAAGGAAGGAAAGATCCCTAAAGATTAAGTATTAGCCAAGCTTTCTCCTGCTACACTGAACTCCATTGTGCATACAGTGTTGTGAATGATGTTGGATTGAGTGATGTGTGCCCAGTCAAGCTCATCCCAGCGGTTGATGGCGCCTTCGATGGAGGTCTTAGCTGCAGTAGACTGGAGGCAGAGCTCGGCATCGATGTAAGCCTTCTTCTCAGTATCGGTCATGTTGTTCCTGTTCTTGGCTTTAGCTTCAGATTCCTTGGTTGAGTTCTAGAAAATTATGAAGTTCTTACCATGCTTTTCTCTGAGACTTGCTCGTGCAAGTGGTGTTCCAGGAAGCGGCGGCTGCCAAGCCTGTGGTCGCGAGGAGCGAGACTAGCGAGCGAAGAGTGACAGTCATTATGGCTGTTGTTCAAAGAGTGAAGAAATCGAAAAGTAAAGACTGGAGTGCGATCCTCGGATTTAGGCTGAGATGCTGAGTGGTGATGAGAAAAAAATGTCCACCATCTCGGCAGCCACCTGGGTTTATAACCTTTTTCTTTCATTCATCAATATCACGAACTCTTTCCTCCATCTTCTCAAGCAGAGCCGCGATGTTAGACATGGGGATGTGAGTGTGCACTGCGCAATCGGCCAATGCGCCTCACTTGGCAGACCGCGTCACCCTTGCTTCGTTCGGACGAACCGTAAATTTTACCCACTTCCCGTCCTGTTTCTCCTATTTTGCGGAGTGACCACCACAACAGCCATGTGGGATGTGCCATTGATGCTTAAAGCTGCCCCTGACTAAGAACCAGAATAGAACTGAGCTCCCCACAGATATTCGTAACGGCCTCCCTTTCTTTTGAATGAGCGGTGCGCAACCCTTGACCGTGGCACCGTGCTGTGAACTCTGGCGAAGGCGATTACGTTGTCTCGGGTTGAGCGGCGCGGCGGCAGTCACATCGTGGGATTAATCCCACAGGGAAGCTCCTACGAGCTCACTCCTGGAGACGTAGACGCATACTTAGCTTGGGGGAAATTGTATCCAGTAGATACCCTGCCTATCATGCACGGCAGTTGAGAGGGCCTAGCTGCCCACTCGCCGCGTCATTCTGGCGCAGTAAACAAGCATAGGTGAGTTATCAGATCAATCTTCGTGGTGACATACATTTGGTCGCCTCCACAATTACATAAGGCGAAAGACACGACAGCTAGAAGCGCTTCATCTTACCGCAGGGATGATCACTTTGGCATGCAGCTGAAACTCAAGGAGCGACTGAGAGAACATTGTACCAAACAATTGCAAATTCAAGACGACTTCTGGACCAATTGGTAGTTGAATGCCAATGGAGGGGGGATGCGAAGAAAGACAAGCTTCTTATTAGCATCGCCAGGTCTTGGCGCAAAGTTGGTTTACTGAACGCGGCCGGGTCGTCCCTTCTCCCCTGATCAGACAGACATTACTTGCAGTCGTGGGTGCGCTTTGACTAAATCAACCACGTTACATTTAGACGACACGTCCTTGTTAATATGAAGAGGCGCATCATCAGGCTGAGTAGGAACTTCAGTGGCTGGGTCGAGAACCGTTCAAGGGCCTGTCGAAACATGGACCTAGCGATATCGGCCCAGACGCAAACCTGATATGCACATCCGCTAGCTTTTTCTTTCAATGTGCATGCTGCCGGCCTAAGATGAATACGTCGAGGTTGCTTAGTGGTATCCGGTTGCTGTATGCAATGACCCGTGATATGCGTTCTTCCAATTCATTGTGCACTGGCTGTCTAGAGACTGAGCATGTTTTCCTCAACTTAGGAAATGCCCCTGTCAGGCACTCCACCACCTAAACACAACTATAATCCGCAGACTTTAGCTATGTTGACTTTGCATACCTATTGCATTCTTTGCAAGGCTAAACAAGAAGAACCAAAGGAAATGCTGGACTGTGATAGTTTGACAATCTTTGAATTCGAAAACCACCCCTGTCCAAGGAATGCCGATCGGACTGCGCGTCAGGCCCACCGGCGTCCGGTGGGCGCATTGAGCCAAACGCTATTAGATAAGTATTCGTGGACTTTATCGTCAAGTGGGAGGCATGCCAAGATGCCAAACTCTCTATTCCCACACATGTGGAATGCCCTATCGACGGGTTTTTCGGTTAACAAAAGTCATCTGTATCCTTGGCCCCTTGGCGAATGTCCGTCCTCACACTTTCAAGTCTGACAAGTTGCGGCCATCTTCGAGGCTGTGCTTAGATCGAGAGTTGTACTATCTCCCTGTCTTGGTTTCCGAAACTAACACCAGCCTCTGGCGAATCAATCCGACATTGGCTCGCCTTTCGCCCGACTATGAAGGTCAAACTTCGGCGACCGCGATTAGCGCGGCAAAAACACTCAAGAAAGTCTACAACGCCTAACGATTGACGACAACAGTCCAACGAGCCATTCTCTCATATAATCACCATTGTCACTCGAGTTGGTCTATCAACACAGTGGTCCTACTTGAGCTCTTGAATTCTGGGCAAAGAGATAAATCTCATAACGCCAGTGACAGGCGAGCAGTTCAGGTACTCGAACGTTGCCTCTCCCTTCTTTAGTACCGAGACCTCATGCCAGGTACGAAACTTCCTTGACTCTCCCCACGTTTTCGCGTGTTTGATGGCTCCAATGTATATAGCCAGGTGAGAACGATGCGTTTTGGACCACTCTTCCAATGCACTCAGGTTCGTGAAGAACCCAGCACCGCAGGTCTCCTTCTTGGTATAGCCATCGGCGTCTCTGTTGCCCAAGAATCGCAAACCCATAGCACCGCCTTTCTCACGATTTTCCCACAGGTATCCCAAGCCCGCCCTCAAGGTCGGTTCCAGCTCCGTCTCGTATGACTGTGCCTCTTCAACGCAACAGTTTTCCCAAAATTGACCGGATCGGATGTGAACAATATTGTCGTAGTTTGTTCCATTTAAGTGCTGTCCTAGTCCGACCGGGGTATCTTCTGGCTTTGACGCCTTCGCATCTCCACCCTGTTCAAAAAGGTCATGAGCGGAGGCCGGAATTCGATCTCTTGCCGCTCCCCAATATGCTGACAGCTGATGCTCTTTTGTACCAGTCTTCGGTAGCCTGGCCAGACCAGGGAGATAGTCGAGTCCAGAGTAATTTGTTTCAAGGCGTGAGATAGGCGTCGTGAAGCTCTCCCTCCATAAACCAACGAGCATTCGGTGTTCTGGCGCGAGTTTGGCGTAAAGAGACGCGATGTCAAGTTTCTGCAGACTTGCTTCTCCTTTTTCAGCATCGTCCCAATAACAGACCCAAACAAATGTGTTCGGGGCGTCATACCCATCTAAATGGTTGAAGCTCTCGGTTGAAAGCGGTCTATCTTCCGTGTTTGTACTGAGCCATGCCTCAACCGCCTGGACTGCCTGTTTGACGAATGTTGAACTATCAGAAGCGCCGTGATGAGATTGTATACCGATATATGCTGTAAATACTTTCTGTACGTCTTTGCAGAGGGTAAGTTGCCATCGTGGAACCGGCGGCCGATGACGCTCTGGTCGCCGGAGGGGATAAGTTCGCATGTCTGAGGACATTCCCGTTGTCGTGTGATGTCTTGACCGATGTAAAATATCTGAAACATTTGCTCAAGTGGCGGGAAGGTTCAATAAATGTCAAGAGCAGCTCCGTGATGGTGTGAGCATCCGGAATCCAGATTCCAGAACGCAGCTCGACCTCATGGCCGCAGTCCACTGTCAGCAGGCTATTACTAACACTCACTGTCATTGGTGGGAACTCGGAGCTTTTTCTGGCCCCGACGGTTTGGACAAGTCCGCGGGCTCAACAAAGGTGCTCGTGACGCCTGAAGGCGCCCTCTTACGTAAACGGGAAGACCTTCTAGTCATGAGTATCATGTTGGTGAGTACTAGTTAAACATCCAAACTTCCCCAGGCAGAAACAATGCAGTTGCAAGATGAGCGACAGGACTGTCCGTAGCAATCATATGTTTGGCACATTCCGAGGGTAATGTACTTTAGCAACCTAGAGTAACATATTCGTAGCAGGGCAAAGAAGGTGCTTAATATGTTCAAGACTTAAGGGAAATACCAAAGATATCAGACCCCCTTTACAGCAGTTTCTCGATAAATGGCGTCCATCTTGAGTTTGATCAGCATACTGATTGGATGTGGTGTTGATTCTCCAAGTATGGAACAGACGGAAAACGAAAGCAGCTGCAGTCCAATGAATAGCAGAGGTCGGCTAAAAGCAAATCTATTACACAAAGATTATGTGTTGAAATCGCCGCGGTATGTACAGGTTACAAAGAACATCAAAGAAACTTCCAATCATTACTGCGTAGAGACTTCAGAAGCTTGTTTGTTCAATGCCTACCTACTTTAGGTTTTATACTTGAGTTGCTTGTGGCTCCGGACCACTGCAGTCCTCCTGCAACACTTCGACTCACATAATTATAAACAACAAGGTGTCACCAATCACCAACAATCGAAACTCCCGCTGAAGTATTTCTACTCGATTGCTTTTTAAAGCCATCACCCATAGCCAACCGTAGCAGCCATGTCAGCTACAAGCGCCAAAGGATCCATTCAAAAGCCTACTCGTTCCAGGCCCATCCTGAGGCTCGATATTGCTGCCGCTTTGGGACTGGGGAAAGTAGGCAAGCCGATCTTGGTCAGGGAATATCAAAGTCCAACATTGACACTAGAATCGGCGAAAAGGGAAGTATCCAAACACCCTCTACCCGAATACCTACCTGACATCGTGGAACAGCAAAATCATTCACGAGAAAGACTTCAGCGATCCGGTGACGCGGAGACTCACGACTGTCTTCATTGGGCTTTACAACATACCTACGACAAGCAGCCACGAAACTCATGGGATAGTTGCAGCTGTGTAGGCGGCACTTACGAAATTGACTCGGATTATTTTGAGCCCATGACGGAAGACGAATTTGTTCAGAGACGTGTCAGACTCCACGAGACATACGAAGACCTAGAAGCCTCGACACAAAATCCAGTGAGCACTCAACTTCGTGCTGGAAGTGCAAATGATGAAGTCAGAGAGACTATAGATATGGACCTCTCTGCTTTTCCTCTTGTACAAAATCGCCTCCAAGAAGTGAATATCACAATCGAAAATCAGACTAACGACCAGTCAATTGAAGATGCAGTTGGGCCAGTGGAACTCTTGGAAGATTTACAAAATGATCTAGAAGTTGCCGCATCTGTTGTAATGCATGGCCAAGGGAATCAAACAGATGGTGGGACTAACAGTACAGTTGAAGAACCAGAGGTTGGTCGTCGCACTAGATTCCACGAACACTTGGACTCGCTCGATGCACCAGTATTCCGTTTGAGTTTGGCCGGCCTTACTCCTCCTCAGCAGTCGACTCCAATGCTGGAATCCAACTGTGTAAGTCAACATACCCACTTCCTGGCACCCCCCTGTTTCTGGCACCCACAAAAACGCGAAAATCCACCACAACCCAATGCCCACCCCCAACCTCCTTTTATCACAACATTTTCAATTCGCGTCCAAATGGGCTCATCTTTTGCACATGTCTTCTTCTATATATAATGCCTCAATATACCGAAGATCAGCTTCGTCAGGCTCTCGAGGA